GCGAGGCCTGACCTGGGGAGCGCCCCCCCCCGAGCCGCGCCTTCTCTCGACTGCCCAACTAATTGTTCGGCCTCGCGCCGCGGACGACCCGCGCGCGTCGCTGGGGCCCTTCCGGGGCGGCCAGCGCGCGTCGCGGGAACTCCGTGCTGCGTTCTTCCCTGCGCCTCGCTCGCCCATCGTCGCCCTGCCCGGCGGTCAGAGCCTTGCCCGCTATCAGCCAGCCAGCTAGCGAGCTCTCTCTGCCTCGCGCAGCGGACGACCCGCGCGCGTCGCTGGGGCCCTTCCGGGGCGACAGGCGCGCGTCGCGGGGGCTCCGCGCCGCGCCGCGCCCGCAGCTTTGGACATTGGAGCGCGCGGGCAAAGAAGGGGGGGGCAATGTGAGGGAACGGGCGCGATCCTCGTGGGGGGCGCGCCGACGCGGGCGTCGCGGCGCGCGGGCGCTGCCGCCAGGGGCCCCGCGGGAGCTTTCCGCGGCGGCCGCGCTCAGTGTCACGAGTGCGCAGACAGGCGTACCCGAACCGTTCACATTCATATGCATGAGCCATGATCGCATTCGTGTAAATATTTTCGCTCGCGCGCAGATTCATCCGCACTTGCGCTCGCTCGCGCTCAGGTTCACCTGCGCTCAGTCTCTCGTAATTCGACCAATCGTTTTCCTTCGTGTTGTGTACCCTGCCACATTTCGGCGCGCCCCTCATGCGGTTAGTGGGCACCACCGAGGAAAATATTCACAATTGCGGTACTCACAACTGCATATGGTTGGGTTTTTCGCCAGGGTATATTTTTGCCACGACGCGAACAGGTCCGGGTTTTCGCGCCCCCCCCGCGACGGTGGGGAGGAGTGTTAAGCCGGGCCTGTCCCTCCACAGGGGGAATATTCAAAGGTAACCCAAATACTAGTCAGGGGACGATTTTTTGATTATTTCGGGCAAGTTCGGATGATTTTCTGAATATTCTTCATTTTTCGTCCAAAATGTGCCTGTAGGGGGACGCGCCCGAGCTTAGAGGAGTCCGTGCCCGAGCTGGTGGAGGAGCGGGCCACCGCCGCCGCGCAGGAGCCCGTGCTCGAGGAGCCGAGGCCGCCGGCGGAGGCCCCCGCGGGGGAGGCCGCCGCGGCGGCGCCGCAGCCGGGCAGCGCCGCGGAGGCGGCCCGCTCCGTGGCCGCGGACGAGGCCACTGCGGGCCGGCTCTCGCCGCTCGAAGCGCACGGGGCCCAACAATATTGATTATTATATAAACACATTTGTATATGTATATGTATATGTATATGTATTTGTATTTGTATTTGTACATGTATATGTATATGTATATGTATATGTATATGTATATGTATTTGAATATGAATATGAATATGAATATGTATATGTATATGTATATGTATATGTATATGTATATGTATATGTGTATGTGTATGTGTATGTGTATGTATACGTATATGTATATGTATATGCATATGCGTATGCATGTGTATATGTATATGTATATGTATATGTATTTGCATATGCGTATGTATATGTATATGTATATGTATATGTATGTGTATATGCATATGTATATGTATATGTCCATGGATATGTTTATGTATGTGTATGTGTATGAATATGAGTATGAGTATATGTATATGTATACATATATATGTATACATGTATATATATGTATATGTATGTGTATATGTGTATGTTCAGGTATCTGTATATGTATACGTATTTGTATATGTTTCTGTAAGTGTATATGTATATGAATATGTATAGGTATATGTATATATATATATATATGTATATGTATTTAGATATGTTTATGTTTATGTATTTGTATATGTATATGTATGTGTGTGTATGTGTATGTGTATTTGCATGCGTATGTGTATGTGTATGTGTATGTGTATGTGTGTGTATGTGTATATGTTTATGTATTTGCATATGTATATGTATATGTATATGTATATGTATATGTATATGTGCATGTATATGTATATGTATATGTATGTGTATGTGTATGTGTATATGTACATGTATTTGCACAGGTATATGTATACGTATCGTTATGTTTATTTGCATATGTATATGTACATGTAAATGTACATGTATATGTATATGTATATGTATATGTATTTGTATATGTTTACGTATAGGTATATGTGTATATGTATATGTATATGTATGTATATGTACATATATATATATATATGTATATGTATATGTTTATGTTTATTTATACGAATATGTTTATATATATGTTTTTGTGTATTCATATGTATAGGTGTATGTGTATGTGTATGTATATGTATATACACATATGTATGGTTGTATGTATGTATGCGTTCACTTATTTTACACAGCTATATATATATATATATATATATATATATATATATATATATATATATATATGCGTAGGTATTTGTATGTATGGGTGTATGTAGGTGTATATATACACGAATACATATACATATCTACATATATATATATGTACATGTATTTGTATACGTATATGTATATGTATATGTATATGTATATGTATATGTATATGTATATGTATATGTATATGTATATGTATATGTATATGTATATGTATATGTATATGTATATGTATATGTATAGGTATATGTATAGGTATATGTATATGTATGTATGTATGTATATATATATGTATATACATATTCATATGTATATACACACCCCAAACACGATTGCGTCATGGAAAAAACACGACGGGCGGTTTTGGCTCATTTCTGGCTTCCGGGGGGCCCTCACGGGGGCCCAGGGCCGTAAAAAAACGATTCAGGACGAAGAGCTGGTTCCTTTGAAAGGGTCTGGTCTTCTTGGGACCGCGTGCTGAAAAAATCAGGACGTCGAACCTCTGGGCCCAGGCCCCCTCGGGTCAGGGCAGAAATCATGGCGGGATTTGTTCATCTATATCTGACCTCTGCGGGCCCGTACCGGCCCTCGGGAATGTCAAGAACGATTCGGGCTGCAAAATTTGTCCCGAGGAGTGGGTCGACGTGATGACAAAATCATGACATCGGGGGTCTTGGGACACCAGCGCCGCCTCCCTCACCCCCTTCCTCTCCCAGGAGAGACGAGAGGACTGAGAATGGTGGAGTAGGGAGGGGGGACCGATGTGCTGGTGGTGTGTACTGAGGGGCCCGCAAAGCGGCCCCCCAGGCTCTCCGTAGCTTTGTGGAGCCAGTCTGGACAACCAGCGCCCCCCTGCACCCGTCGGCAGCGCGCAGGGCGGTGGGGCCCAGACATACGACGTTCTGATTTTTTCAGTGCGCGGTCCCTGGAAGTCCCGACCCTTTCCCCACCGGTTTTTCATCCCGAGTGGTCCTCGCGTGTCCTGTCCAACCAAGTCCGACTGTACGTCTCCCAGGTGGGGTCGGCGTAGATGGGGTCGGAGGACGCCCCCGAATTGAAAGAAAGGGGGAGGGGGGACGGCTTCTTAGAAGCACCCCTGCTTCTGAGAAGGCGCGGGCCTTGTCTGTAGATGTAGGGCCGGTGCCTTCTCAGAAGCAGCCTCCTTTAAGAAGCCTTGCCCCCTCCCCCTGCCCCCCTTGTGCGCGCCGCCAATAGGTGGGTTCGGAGGATCGCGCCGCATCGTCGCGCCGCATCGCCGATGCATCGACGATGCGGCTCGATGCGGAGCCCAATTTTCTCCACGCCGACGTCGCCGATGTGTCGCCGACGTCGGCGATGCATCGCCGATGCATCGCCGATGTATTGGCGATGCTGCGCGATCCTCCGACCCCATCTACTCGAAGCCTATCTGGGAGGCCTCTGGGTCGGGTCCGTTGTCTCCGAGCTCGTCCCGATCGGGGAAGCCCTCTGGAGGGGAAAGAATTCACACAGACACAAATCATCCTCGCTTCCCATGAAAAAGGTGGGAAAATATGGGAGGTGGAGGGGGAGACAGAACTCCAGAAAATATAGGACAGTATGGGGAATCTTGGGATTGGTTTCAATTTAATTGTTTGTCCTTGGGCCTCTTCAAACCCAGACCGATCGCGTCGTTCAAGAAACTCACGACGGGCGGTTTTTGGCTATTTTCGGCCCCCGGGGGCCCTCGCAGGGCCCCGGGACCGTCAAAAACGACTCGGGATGAAAGCTGGTCCCAGGGAACGGGTCGGGGCTTCCAGGGGACCGCGCATCGAAAACACCAGTACGTCGCATGTCCAGGAACGTAAGACTCGAGTTTTCCAGAGCTCGGGGCCTGCCTCAGCTCTTTGGCGGGCCCGCCTCCCTTTGAAGGTCCTGTTCTCGTGGGATGTCTTCAGCGGGGGCTCGCATCAACTCTCAGGCTGGGTCGTATGGTTTTCCTGACTGCCCCGCCGGACCAACCCGAGTCCACCGAAGCCGAGTCTTGCGTGCCCTTTATCCACTGGGGCTGAGGAGAAGCCCCTGTTTCGATCGGTGGGCGGCAGGAGACGCAGCCAGAGAACGCCACGGAGGCAGCCAGCGCCACCGCACAGGAGGAGGTGGCGCTGCAGCCGCAGGCCGAGACGGTGCAGGCAAACTCCACCGACGAGGCGCAAGATGCCGCCCCGGCGGAGGGGGAGGTCGGCTCCGAGCCGCTGCCATGGGTGGACTGGGACGCCGAGGACACGCCTCCGCCGGCGGGGGAGCCGCTGCCAGAGGCCCACGACGCGCAGGCGGTGGCGCCGCAGCCAGAGAACGCCACCGAGGAGGCCACGCCCCACGAGGAGCCGGCCATGCCGAGGCAGGCGGCGGGCCCGGGGCATCTGCCGCTGGTGGACGGGGACTCCGTGCGGGTTGCCGACGCCACGACGGAGGGGCGCTGGCGTGACTTCTCATCGGGCGCTTCCACCAGCACCCACTAATTCATGGCTGCCGCTTGTGCTCTCCGCGCGGTTGCACTGCCATGCTCGGCTGGCCTGTTGTCTTTTGCAGCGTTGATGGTGTCGTCAGTCTATTCTGCTTCGTTTAGTTACGCACGGCAAGTGCGCAAGCGCGTGTACTTTGTCGACGAGTCTGCCGAAAGGG